AACAACCCTTCTTCAGCCCTCTGACTAATACTTTTAGTAACTCCACACCTCCTCCTAATTTCCACACTACGAATTCTCTGCATAATATTTACACCACACATTGCCCTTAGACAGGACATCTCCAGTGCCTCCAGCCTCCTCCTCACTGCAGCACTTACAATCCATGCTTCACACCCATACAGTGGCAGTTCGTCCATAGGAGCTGCAGAGCTGCAGTCCCCCCAAATGCTCACTGCCAGACATATAACTTCATCAACCTTACACTAAAATAATTTGCAACTGACAAATATATTACAGGAAAATCTGTTGTATGTTGTTTTCAACGTATTCATAAGCAAATTTTTTATTTTTTATTGAAATGAGATAAAAAATTATTAAAAATGGAAGTTTGATGCGGTACGATAGTATAGGTATTACATGTACAGTGGACCCCCGACTTACGATATTAATCCGTTCCAGAGAGCACATCGTAAGATGAAATTATCGTAAGTCAACTTAATTTTCCCCATAAGAAATAATGGAAATCAAATTAATCCGTTCAAGACACCCAAAAATATGAAAAAAAAATTTTTTTACCACATGAAATATACATTTTCCTACACACAAAAAGAAAGATACATGCACAATATACATTGTGCATGTACTAGTGTACTAAATGAAGAATAAATGACACTTACCTTTATTAAGATGTGGTGATGAGTGATGAGACACTGTTTGTGTCCTGGGAGTGCCTTTTCCTCCTGAGTAATGTAGGTCCTGTTTGGCATTTTCTTCCAGAACAGGCCTTATCACACTGTGTATGCCACTATGATTCTTAAATCTCTCAAACCAACCTCTGCTGGCCTTAAATTCACCAATATGAGCACTAGTTCCGGGCATTTTGTCCTGTTCACCTGGGTGTTAGTAGACTGGTGTGGGTCACATCCTGGGGGACAAGAATAAGGACCCCAACGGAAATAAGTTAGACAGTCCTCAATGACACACCTCCTTTCTTGGGTTATCCTGGGTGGCTAACCCTCTGGGGTTAATTGTTTCTCAGTATTCTCGATAAGCCCATGGTGGCTTATTTAGCAGTTACAAGCACTAAAAACGCTGGAATAATACAAAATTTACTGAATGTATGCGTGCAACTGTCTGCCCTGGCTTGTAAACAATGTCACACTAGGCTGAGGTACTCAGGCCACACGGCCGCGTTTGGGACGAATGATGTAAGTTGAGTTTTTCAACGTAGGTCGGGGTCAAATTTTTATGCTGACAAGCATCATAAGTCGGGGGTCCACTGTACTGGCATTACGAGCCGCCACTGCACCCATATAAGTGTTGGGACCACTATAATCTCATATGTTCCCTTCTTTGCCTCCATGGATAACATTTTTTGTTTCCACAGATACCTTAGTTGTCCAGTATAAATAATTTTCATAAATTATGTGTATAAATCAGGAAATGGGTGGGGCTTGAAGCCATGGCAGGTAAGTCCTAAAGCTCATAGGCCATGGGTTCAAGCCCCCACCCATTTCATAATATGTTTGCGACTGTGTTGTTACGATTTTGTGAGTTATGCATATAATTACTATTACTGTATGAGATTATTATTAAATTATAATGATTATATAGAGCCATTATTATTATTATTATTATTTTATTTTTTATTATCACACTGGCCGATTCCCACCAAGGCAGGGTGGCCCGAAAAAGAAAAACTTTCACCATCATTCACTCCATCACTGTCTTGCCAGAAGGGTGCTTTACACTACAGTTTTTAAACTGCAACATTAACACCCCTCCTTCAGAGTGCAGGCACTGTACTTCCCATCTCCAGGACTCAAGTCCGGCCTGCCGGTTTCCCTGAATCCCTTCATAAATGTTACTTTGCTCACACTCCAACAGCACGTCAAGTATTAAAAACCATTTGTCTCCATTCACTCCTATCAAACACGCTCACGCATGCCTGCTGGAAGTCCAAGCCCCTCGCACACAAAACCTCCTTTACCCCTCCCTCCAACCTTTCCTAGGCCGACCCTACCCCGCCTTCCTTCCACTACAGACTGATACACTCTTGAAGTCATTCTGTTTCGCTCCATTCTCTCAACATGTCCGAACAACCTCAACAACCCTTCCTCAGCCCTCTGGACAACAGTTTTGGTAATCCCGCACCTCCTCCTAACTTCCAAACTACGAATTCTCTGCATTATATTCACACCACACATTGCCCTCAGACATGACATCTCCACTGCCTCCAGCCTTCTCCTCGCTGCAACATTCATCACCCACGCTTCACACCCATATAAGAGCGTTGGTAAAACTATACTCTCATACATTCCCCTCTTTGCCTCCAAGGACAAAGTTCTTTGTCTCCACAGACTCCTAAGTGCACCACTCACTCTTTTTCCCTCATCAATTATATGATTCACCTCATCTTTCATAGACCCATCCGCTGACACGTCCACTCCCAAATATCTGAATACGTTCACCTCCTCCATACTCTCTCCCTCCAATCTGATATCCAATCTTTCATCACCTAATCTTTTTGTTATCCTCATAACCTTACTCTTTCCTGTATTCACCTTTAATTTTCTTCTTTTGCACACCCTACCAAATTCATCCACCAATCTCTGCAACTTCTCTTCAGAATCTCCCAAGAGCACAGTGTCATCAGCAAAGAGCAGCTGTGACAACTCCCACTTTGTGTGTGATTCTTTATCTTTTAACTCCACGCCTCTTGCCAAGACCCTCGCATTTACTTCTCTTACAACCCCATCTATAAATATATTAAACAACCACGGTGACATCACACATCCTTGTCTAAGGCCTACTTTTACTGGGAAAAAATTTCCCTCTTTCCTACATACTCTAACTTGAGCCTCACTATCCTCGTAAAAACTCTTCACTGCTTTCAGTAACCTACCTCCTACACCATACACTTGCAACATCTGCCACATTGCCCCCCTATCCACCCTGTCATACGCCTTTTCCAAATCCATAAATGCCACAAAGACCTCTTTAGCCTTATCTAAATACTGTTCACTTATATGTTTCACTGTAAACACCTGGTCCACACACCCCCTACCTTTCCTAAAGCCTCCTTGTTCATCTGCTATCCTATTCTCCGTCTTACTCTTAATTCTTTCAATTATAACTCTACCATACACTTTACCAGGTATACTCAACAGACTTATCCCCCTATAATTTTTGCACTCTCTTTTATCCCCTTTGCCTTTATACAAAGGAACTATGCATGCTCTCTGCCAATCCCTAGGTACCTTACCCTCTTCTATACATTTATTAAATAATTGCACCAACCACTCCAAAACTATATCCCCACCTGCTTTTAACATTTCTATCTTTATCCCATCAATCCCGGCTGCCTTACCCCTTTCATTTTACCTACTGCCTCACGAACTTCCCCCACACTCACAACTGGCTCTTCCTCACTCCTACAAGATGTTATTCCTCCTTGCCCTATACACGAAATCACAGCTTCCCTATCTTCATTAACATTTAACAATTCCTCAAAATATTCCCTCCATCTTCCCAATACCTCTAACTCTCCATTTAATAACTCTCCTCTCTATTTTTAACTGACAAATCCATTTGTTCTCTAGGCTTTCTTAACTTGTTGATCTCACTCCAAAACTTTTTCTTATTTTCAACAAAATTTGTTGATAACATCTCACCCACTCTCTCATTTGCTCTCTTTTTACATTGCTTCACCACTCTCTTAACCTCTCTCTTTTTCTCCATATACTCTTCCTCCTTGCATCACTTCTACTTTGTAAAACTTCTCATATGCTAACTTTTTCTCCCTTACTACTCTCTTTACATCATCATTCCACCAATCGCTCCTCTTCCCTCTGCACCCACTTTCCTGTAACCACAAACTTCTGCTGAACACTCTAACACTACATTTTTAAACTACCCCATACCTCTTCGACCCCATTGCCTATGCTCTCATTAGCCCATCTATCCTCCAATAGCTGTTTATATCTTACCCTAACTGCCTCCTCTTTTAGTTTATAAACCTTCACCTCTCTCTTCCCTGATGCTTCTATTCTCCTTGTATCCCATCTACCTTTTACTCTCAGTGTAGCTACAACTAGAAAGTGATCTGATATATCTGTGGCCCCTCTATAAACATGTACATCCTGAAGTCTACTCAACAGTCTTTTATCTACCAATACATAATCCAACAAACTACTGTCATTTCGCCCTACATCATATCTTGTATACTTATTTATCCTCTTTTTCTTAAAATATGTATTACCTATAACTAGACCCCTTTCTATACAAAGTTCAATCAAAGGGCTCCCATTATCATTTACACCTGGCACCCCAAACTTACCTACCACACCCTCTCTAAAAGTTTCTCCTACTTTAGCATTCAGGTCCCCTACCACAATTACTCTCTCACTTGGTTCAAAGGCTCCTATACATTCACTTAACATCTCCCAAAATCTCTCTCTCTCCTCTGCATTCCTCTCTTCTCCAGGTGCATACACGCTTATTATGGCCCACTTCTCACATCCAACCTTTACTTTAATCCACATAATTCTTGAATTTACACATTCATATTCTTATTATAATTAATGCATACGATTCATATTTTGAACACCAAAATCAGAATTCATCTTGTCTCAATTTGCATTAAGCTGAAATTTATCACACACATTACAATGATTTTTCTGCATTGTAATAAGAAGTTCACATTATGTTCTAAAGCTGCAGACATTACAAAGTGCAGGATAATATGTACACACTTACATAAAGGTAAGCTTTAAATAGAGAATGTAATAAAATAAGTGAGCAAAGCATTGGCCTATACAGACTGCCTTGTTAAGTTCAAGTTTGTTTTCCTCTTCATCTGAGTTCACATGTACAATACTGTAACTCAGTACAGTAGGATGCTATTTACTTAAATTTCATTTGACTCCTCAATAAATTTATATTGACCAAATAATTTTTTGAGACTACAAAATTTTCTTTGCTGATTAAAAAGAACTAACCTTCAAGACTTTTGGGATCACTGCAAGCACCAGCATAGCGTAGGCCCTGACCCATAGGGTCCTCCATGCCAGCCTCACGTAAAAAACGAGCAGTCACACTGGGGAAACTTTGAACTGCCCATGCCATGTACCTGTGTTTGAAGGTAAAAATAAAATAAATTATTCAGACTACTAACCAAGAGGGTTAACATGTAAGGATAATCCAGAAAAGCTAAGCAGTGTGGCTTATTTCTATTGGGAATCTGCGAGTCCTCTTTCCCAGGATGTAAACCACAAGGCACCTGACACTCAGGCACGTATTTACTACTAAGTGAACAATGGCAGAAGGTATAAGGAAACATTCCTGTCTCAACCCAGAACTGAACTTGGCACGTTTGGATAATGAACTGTGCTTCAAGTTATATATATAGGAGCACAATTCAATTCTCTGGGATTACAGTACATCTTTTCTGTAGATTCTAAGCCCCTTGTTATACAAATCATCTTGATCAGACTAAAACTAGTACAGTCAAATCTAGTTATCTTAAACTCCTTTGTACCTAGGGTAGTATGTCATAATTATACTATTTGTGAATTAAACGGAAAACATACAGGAGGAGAATGAAATAGCCAGAAACCATGCCTGAGGCTAACTTGTGTGTCCGGGGCTAGGATGAAACATGGCTTGTAACCAGTTAACCTAGCTATTTGAGGTATCTGTAGCTTAATGTTCTAAAACTTTACTTGGGAAGCCAACACTTCCCACACATGGGCACATGGGTTCAAATCCTGCTGACCGTGATCTTTCTCTGTAGTATATACCTCCACTTATTTCCGCGTAGATCATTGATTTATATGTATAATATACGTATAATACGCACGTGCACACACTCTTAGAGACTGAGAGCAACTCTGAGATCAGGGTCTGGATAATAAAAGAGCTAAGAAAGGAGGCTGGCAGGTGGCATTAAACCACAGACCAGACTCACTGACAAGTACATATAGTATTCAAAGTCAAGGTGAAGATTATCAAGAACAGATTGACGGAGCACCTAAAAAAGAATGAGATTATACATGATAACCAGCACAGTTTCAGGGAGAGGAAATCCTGTGTCACAAACCTACTGGAGTTTTATAGCAAGATGACAGAAGAGAGAGAGAGGGTGGGTAAAATGCATTTTCTTAGACTTCAAGAAGGATAGCGACACAGTTTCACAAAAGAGATTAGTGCAAAAGCTAAAGGAGCAGGCAGGAATAACAGGAAAGGCATTACAATGGATGAGAGAATACCTGACAAGAAGGAAACAACAAGTGATGGTATGTGATGAGGTAAAAATAAAAGATAAAGATAAAAAATTTTATTTCTTTGCAAAGGTTACAACGTGTAATTACAATTTTGATTTGTTCAGTACAAAGAAAGTCTCTATCATGCCGGGGCATTTCGGACAGGCTAATCCTAATACTTAAAAACTACTTAGGTCTAGACAGGATAAGAGTGGTTAATTTTTAATTATTAATTATTTTATCCAATGAATAATAAGATATTTTATCTTATGGATAATAATCTTGATGTAGCATAAAACTAATAATAATATTACAAGTAATGTGATTAATAATAAAGATTTATTTCTTTGACAAAGGTTACAAAGAGTAATTACATTGTTGATTTGTTAGGTACAAAGAAAGCCACTATCATGCCGGGGCATTTCAGGCAGACTAATCCTAATACGCTTTTTTTTTACATGCTTTCTTATGGAGAAAATCAAGGTCGGAGCGCTACGCACACAAACGTAGATCTACATTTAGATAGTTTAATGGTTAAAAACTACTTAAGTCTACACAGGATAAGAGTGGTTATTTTTTAATTATTTATTATTTTATCTTAATACTAATGCAAGGTAGTCAAAGTTGAGGTTTATAACATTAATCATCTTGATGTTGCACATAATGAATAACAATATTACAAGCAATGGTGTCAGAGTAGGTGCCTCTGACATGCAGAGTTTAAAATGGGTCAGTCCTAAGGCCAGTGCATATATGAATGTGTATGTGAATATGTATATATGTGGATGACATGGCATAAGGGATAAATTCAGAGAAGTCCCTGTTTGCAGACGATGTGAAGCTAATGTGGAGAATTCAAGTGGATGAGGATCAGGTGGGACTACAATGGGATCTAGACAGGCTGCAAGCCTGGTCCAACAACTGGCTCCTGGACTTTAACCTCACCAAATGCAAAGTCATGAAGACTGGGAAAGGTGAAAGAAGACCTGTAGATGAATGGTTCAGAGAACCGACATGTTGATAAATTAGACACATGTGCAACTCTTGGGTATCTTTATTGAGGAAACGTTTCGCCACACAGTGGCTTCATCAGTCCATACAAAGGAGAATCTTGAAGAACAGGAGGAGAATGAGGTAATCAGTCCCTCAACCTTGAGTCGATGTGGTCAGTCCATCAATCTTGAATAGAATACGGCATACGTGCGGAGAAGGAGCTTATAAACCGTTGGCAGGAGAAATGGAGCAGTCAAAGGTGGTGTCACATTTGTTCAATGTGGAAGTAGGTTGTGCCCAAGAATTAGGCAAGTGAAGAATTCCCAAGTATTAAGATCCCAAGAAGTTGCAGTGTCTGACAGGTTTGTAGATGAATGGTTCTGAGAACCGACATGTTGATAAATTAGACACATGTGCAATGTGTCTAATGCACATGTGTCTAATTTGTGAAAGAAGACCACAGACAGAGTACAGGCTAGGGGGCCAAAGTCTGGAAACCTCACTCAAGGAAAAAGATCTTGGGATGAGTACAATACTGAACACATCTCCTGAGGCAAGCATCAGCCAAACAACTGCTGCAGCATACAGGCACCTGGCAAACCTAAGAAGAACGTTTTGACACCTGAGTAAGGAATCATTCAAAACTGTGCAGCGTGTATGTCAGCCCCATATTGGAGTATGCAGCACAAGTATGGAACCCACACCTGGTCAAGCATGTCAAGAAATTAGAGAAAGTGCAAAGGTTTGCAACAAGATTAGTCCCGGAGCTAAGGAGTATGTCCTATGCGAAGAGGTTAAGGGAAATCAATCTGACGACACTGGAGGACAGGAGAGATGGGGAGACATGATAATGACATATAAAATACTGAGAGGAATTGACAGGGTGGATAGGGACAGGATGTTTCAGAGATGGGACACAGCAAGAAGGGGATACAACTGGAAGTTGAAAACTCATCTGAGTCACAGGGATGCTAGGAAGTATTTATTTAGCCATAGAGTTGTCAGGAAGTGGAACAACTGGAGAGCGATGCAGTGGAGGCAGGATGCATACATAGCTTTAAGAAGAGATACGACAAAGCTCATGGAGCAGGGAGTGTGTACCTAGTAGTAACTAGTAAAGAGGTGGGGCCAGGAGCTATGATTCAACCCTTGCAACCATAAATAGGTGAGTACACACACACACACCTAGTCATCATGTTTATCTGATGTAATACTTACTTCTCACGAAGTCTAAGTGCCTCAATGAGAAGTTTTGATGACTTGGAGATATCTTCAACTGGCATCTGAAATATTTAATTTTAATATTAAGAAACAATTAAGTTAGATGCTAAAAGTGTATTTGACTCACTAGCAACAGGCACATTTCCTTGAGTGTCAAGTAAAAATTTAAGTTAGATGCTAAAACTGTACTTAACCCACTAGCAAGAGGCACATTTCCTCGAGTATCAAGTAAAAACTGATTTTCATTTGCTAAGGAAAACAGAAAAATCAGAACTGAAGTCATAATATACTATGTATCAAGCATCACAGAAGTTTACAGTAACAGCAGCAGCTTTATTATAGAGGTCTTTTTTAGCAACAACAACAAAAATACTAATAGTAATTTGTGATTTTATAATTCTTGAGTGTTCTTTCGAGAAATTTACAAACTCTTGCACATCAAACTGTAAATACAACAACTAAGATAAAAAAAAATATTAAAATTATATTCAAAAGTGAGAGTATGATCATCAGACTCATAACTCCAGAAAAGAGATGCTCTTCAAATGAGACCTGAAAGTATGAACAGACTCCTAACAGACACTAGTATAAGAAAAGGCTTTTTTTGTTTTTGCAAAAGATTTCATATTCATACAGGTCCTGTTAGATACATGTACCATAAGGGGTTACAGTTTGAAGCAAAGGCTCTCCTGTACAGTTCATGATTATTATGTATGTTTGAGTAAAACATATCACAGAGAACCCTCATAAAATTAAATATGTTCAGCCTTTCACTCATTCTGTAATCAGATGCTCAGAAGTAATGTTTATTTGTGTAGTATAACATGTGCACACCACAATTTATTCTGATGATTTGCAACCAACACGTAGAGAAATATCATGCAAAATGAGCACAATGTATACGAACTCTCATAATATACAAGCAAAAGGGAAAAAACTCACAGTAACTCAGATTAACACAATACAAACAAACTCATAATAAACTAGATAAGTAGAAGGGGGAGCAAACTCTCATAATAAACTATTTAACAATCATGAGGTAAACAAACTCTAATAATAAGCTATATAACATGCATAACATAAACAAGCTCTCATAATAAAATGAATTCAAGTGCAATGTGAACAAACGTACATTTCATTTCAGATGCTCTGAACCTAAAAGACCATCAGAAAATGGTATACACCGATTAAGAGTGCCAGAATATGAACTTAAAACAAAACTTTATTTCTAAAAGTAGAGTAATGTACAGTATATCCAGTTAAGGTAACTGACATGTATAACCTACTTTAGGTCACATGCATGTACATGTATTTGTACACACACCCATCTGAGTTTTCTTATATGTTCTTAATAGTTCTTGTTCTTATTTATCTTCCTTTCACTTCCATGGGGAAGTGGAAAAGAATCTTTCTATTAGCCAAGTGTGTCGTAAAAGGCGACTAAAATACAAGTAGCAATGGGCTAGTAACCATTTATGTATAAATTAGCAAACATAAGATGACAAATTTTATAAGGTTGGAATGTTTGAAAGTGTGTTGATGTAGTGCAGATAAGAAAGAGATAATTGTCTATGTTATGAATGAAAAGATGCTGGATGTCCTAGTTCTAAGTGAAACAAAGCTGAAGGAGATAGGGGAGTTACGGTGGGGAAAAACAAATGGGATTAGGTCAGGTGTATCAGAGAGCTAAGGAAGGAGTAGCAATAATGTTGAAGGATCAGTCATGATAGTAATATAGCAAGTGTTTATGCACCTGGAGAAGAGAAGAGAGGAGAGGAGAGGAGAGGAGAGGAGAGGAGAGGAAGGAAGGAGGGAGGGAGGGAGGGAGGGAGGGAGGGGGAGGGAGGGAGGGAGGGAGGGAGGGAGGGAGGGAGAGGGAGGGAAGGGAGGAGGGAGGGAGAGAGAGGGAGGGGGGAGGGAGAGAGAGAGAGAGAGAGGGAGGGGAGGGAGAGGGAGGGAGGGGGAGGGAGGGAGAGTTAGGGAGGGAGAGGGAGGGAGGGAGAGGGAGGGAGAGGGAAGGAGAAAGGGGGGGAGAGAGGGAGGGAGAGAGGGAGAGAGGGAGGGAGAGGGGGGAGAGAAAAGGGAGAGAGAGAGGGAGAGAGAGAGGGAGGAGAGAGGGAGAGGGAGAGAGGGAGAGAGAGAGGGAGAGAGAGAGGGAGGAGGGGAGAGAGAGAGGGAGAGAGAGAGGGAGAGGGGGAGAGGGGAGGGGGGGGAGAGGGAGAGAGGAGAAAAGGGAGGGAGAGGGAGGGGGAGGGGAGGGGGGAGAGAGGGGAGGAGGAGAGGGGGAGAGAGGGGGGGGGGGGAAAAGGGGGAAGGGGAGGGGGAGAGAGAGGGGGGGAGGGAGAGGGAGAGAGAGGGAAGAGAGGAGAGGGGGAGAGAGAGAGGGAGAGAGAGAGGGGAGAGGGAGGGGGGGAGAGAAAAGAGGGGGAGAGAAGAGGGGAGGAGAGAGAGGGAGAGAGAAGAAGGGGAGAGAGAGAGAGGGGAAAAGAGGAGGGGGGAGGGAGAGAGAGAGAGAGGGGGAAGAGGAGGGGGGAAAGGGGGGGAGGGAGAGGGAGGGAGGGGGGAGGGAGGGGGAGGGAGAGGGGGGGAGGGAAAAGGGGGGAGAGGGAGGGAGAGGGGGAGAGGGAGGGGGGGGGGAAGGGGGAGGGGAGGGAGGGAGGGAGGGAGGGGGGGGGGAGGGGGGGGGGGGGGAGGGGGGGGGGAGGGGGAGGGAGGGGGAAGGGGGGGGGAGGGGGGGGGGGGGAGGGAGGGGAAGGAGGGGAGGAGGAGGGAGAGAGAGAGAGAGAGAGAAGAGGAGAGGAGAGAGAGGGGGGAGAGGGGGGAGGGGAGGAGAGGGAGAGGAGGGGAGGGGAGAGGGGAGAAAAGGGGGAGAGGGGAGGGAGAGGGAGGGAAGGGGGAGGGAGAGAGAGAGAGAGAAAAAGATAGAAAGAAAGAAAAGAAAGAAAGAGAAAAAAGGAGAAGAGGGGGGAAGAGAGAGAGAGAAGAGAGGGAGAGAGAAGAGGAGAGAGGAGAGAAGGAGAGAGAGAGAGAGAGGAGAGGAGAGAGGAGAGAAGAGGGGGAAAGGGGGACCAGGATGGAAAAAAAAGGAACTTGACAGAGAGGATCACCTTTTTAGAAATCTTTCTCAGAACAAATCACATGATCTCTAATAAGTGAACACCTACTGTCACCCCCCAGCTACCCTATCTCACCAGCAGGTGGGATTTGCCCCTTTCACAACCATGACCAACACCCCCCGGAGCTGGCCCGTTCCTACCTGTCTCAAAGGGGAACAACCCCTTTCACACCCACCAACTCAAGCTGAACACAATCATTAGGAGCCCGTCTACAGTACCCGTAGCCAACATTAGAGGATTTATTACCAATGTTGGGAGCTCACGCAAATTTCGTGAGCATTTGGGCCAAAAATGATATTGTTGTTGTTGTTGTTGAAAAAATTTTTGGACAAAGGACTCAAAAAAATTTTTTTCAAGAATTTTGGCTACACCCCAGGTGAGAAAGACAGGAAAGGGGCAAGGGGGATGGTTCTGTGTCTTCTCTAAATGCATCACAACCCTTGATGTTGCCATCCCTATCACCTAGAAATGTTTTCCCTTTAAGCTATGCATAAACAAGTACCTCTGTCTAGCACAAGCAATGACAGACCTCAAATAGCAAAATGCAGACCCCCCCCCAACTTCCAAAAGGAAAAAGTGGATTCCCTTTTGCTCCAACTTTTTTTACAAATGTCAAATATATAATGTTAGTGACCTCAACCAACACCGAAAAGAGGGACTTTGATGACTTTCTTGCCGTGTTTGACATGAGAAACTTTTGTTTGATCCTACTCACATCCTCTGGCTCCTCCCTCGACAAATTAACAAGTGATCTTTCAGAAAGGGGAAGGTATTGTCAATCCTTAGCTATGGTTTGGACCCCTTTACCACAAGGTTGTTTTTATGACAACTAAGAACCCAATAGAAAGAGGTGGGGGAATCCACAATACAACCTTTGCTGTGGAAAAAAAGAGGAAACTGGCCCACTTTGCCTGAGCTTGCGCCTCCGATTGGAATGCTTTCTACAAAGATTTGACAACCAATGAATCTTTTACTGGACAATCCTTTTTTCTACA